GCTGAATACCGTAGAATATTGGAGTTTCGAAGATGTCGATGCAATACCGAGTCTGAATTATGTRGGGGATGAACCAAGYTGAGCCTGAAATGTGCCGGATGCRGTAGAGCGCTGGAGTACTGTAATATYGCCGAACCTGAACGTCTCGATGTCGAAATAATACCATGCCTGAAATAAATCGAATCTCGTACAATGTCAAAGTCTCGTGATAGGACCGRCCCTAAACCAACTATCCMTGTAACGTGACGTAYCTGGCCACGCTGAAYGTCATAGAACGTGGCCTGTCCCGAACYAGAKTGTCGTKCGGAAGCTGAACCRGGAACATATCGRATCTAGAGTCGATACCGAACCTAAAAATGATGCTGTGAAGTGTGCCAAACCGATGTCGATCCTGGAATATGGCGGTGCAGTGGTTCCGGACCTGAAAACGACCCACGGTGGCGGGTTCCGAACCTGAAATAAACRGTYGTAGAGGTTCCGGTCYTGAAAACAAACCACCRCACCGGTTCTGAACCTGAGATGAACCGYCGTAGTAGGCCCAAGTCGTGATAATAACTCTCCGCACRGGTTCCGAACYTGAAATGAACCGYCGTAGAGGTCCCGAAGCTGAAATGAGTWGTCATGATAGTGTCGAACCTGAGTTATGTTGATGCTAAGCTCATGTCGAGCTCGAAACATGTCGGGTACCGTAGAATGCAATGACTCCGCCACAATAGCGAACCTCTTCGATCCATGTGTCCGAACCGAACCAAACACCAGGCCCATACCAAGATAATACCTTCTCGTCCTGATGGAGCAACCTCCTCTCGCGCACTCAGTCAATAAGGTCAGTGATCAGGCGAATCAGGTGAGTGACGCAGGGAATCTCGATTATCGGTGACTAGAGAAAATCGTTAGAATTAGAGAAAGTAGATAATCTGAGTTAAATGCCAACAGCGGTTAATCCAGTCAAAAATCAATCAAACTTCTTATAATCATTAATTATCGTCCCTTTTATCATTTTCAACTATTTTCTCTCCTTTTTAATTCTACTATCGGAAAATAATAAAATGACACGATTCCACAAAAAATGAGTTCCGAGGGGGTTAAGCGAAGTAGTTGAAATTTTCTTGCGTCTTATCTTTTTAATAATTTTAATCATTTCCACAGCTTCTGATTTCATTGCCGGAAATAACAAAAAAGGGAGCATTTAATATAGAATTAATTACAGAGAGGATTCTATAATATTACAGAATACCTCGTTTTTCCCCTTGTTTCTCTTTTCCTCGATCCTCTTTCCATTTTTAGTTTTAGCATTAGAATTAACGAAATCTTTAGGCTCCATTACCCCACCCGCAGTGCTGGTTAAAAGAGCCGCTCCGAGGCCTACTGTTACATTTGCCTTCCGCGACCTGCCTTTCTGGAAGTAGGCTTATAATGATGGAAATCGGGTAGGCGCTGACACCGTAGAACCGGTGTCAAGTTTTTGCCGGTTTTTTTTTTTTAGGGTTACTCGTAAGGTTCTGCATGTCCAAAATTAAGGGTGCCCCGAGTACCCCTAATTTTTCCACCTCAGGTCAAACAAGAGTACCTTTAGAACGCGGACTTGTCTCCAGATCCAAGTCCAAAGCCGTCGATTTCGGGTGGCCCACTGCTTGTGGCCGCCCGGCAGTTAGCCCAGACCTCTTCTCGACGCGCCAGTCGAGCCCTAACCACATTCGTCAAATGAAGCGAACGAGCTTCAGGGTGATTGTCTGTAAAGGACGACCACGTCGGCGTTTAATTGTCTTATACTTCAGTTTGTTATGAGTTCTTGGACTAAGAAGATGTTTCTTGACTCCCCTTTTTCCTCGGGAATTTGGCCTAGATAGGATCCTCTCTCTCTTTTGACGTTGGCCCGAAGAAGGTGCCGACTCGTCTGCTTGTCTAATACGAACTCTCCGTCTGGCTCTCCTGAGCACGAATAACCATTTCTTCCTCTTTCCCATCGCCAACCCTTTGACCTTTCTTTTCTCTATTATTTTCCTCTTCTTGGAACTTTCCCCTGCCTCGAATCGCCTCAAGGGGGCTTCATCCTCCATTTTGACTTTTCCTTTCCCCTTCGGACTTGTCTGCGATAAGGTGGGTGCGGGCCTGGGTCTAAACAGCTTCAGCCTAGCACCCGCCACTCGGTCTTTCCACTTGGATCCGTCCAATTCTGCTATCATATATGCACCCCAGTCGAGTGCCTCAACCACTCTTTAAGGTCCCATCCATCTGTTTGCGAGTTTTCCGGTCCAGGTCCTCTCCAGTGCTGCGTCGTAGAGAAGGACCATATCTCGTACGCTCACCCTCTCTTTTCTGATCCGCACGTTCTTATACCATCTCTCTTTACCGTTGTCCCTTTCCACTGCCAGACGATCTGCCGCTGTCATAAGGTTGTCTTCCAAACCGTAGGCTATCTGTCTTGTTCGGGCAGCTATGAGTTCCTCTCTGGACATCTCCTCTGCCCAGTCGACGGTTGTCCAGCTGTCGACGTGAAACTCTATGGGGAGCGGACAATGCCGCCCAAACCACAAGGTGTATGGTGGGTATCCAGTGCTAGCCCGGACCGTGACGTTGTCCGCCCATATTGCGTATAGAAAATATCGTGGCCAATCACTGTCCTTACCTTTGCACCACTTGGATAGTGACGCTATTAGAGTCTGGTGCCCCCTCTCTAATGGGGAGTTCGACTGTGGGTGGTAGGCAGTGGCTATCGAAACTCTCGCCCCAGCTCTCTTGAACACACTCCGAACCTATTCAGCTAGGAATTCTGCCCCTCTGTCCATCACTATCTTGCTGACACAACCATACCTAGATAAGTACTCTAGGACGAAGTTCTTCACTTCCTTTGCCGTCTAACTCTTCATAGGTCTACCGTCCACGAACCCCGTGAAGTCGTCTCATATGTTCACGACATAGTTCATATTGCCTACCCCTTTCGGCATCTTCACCAGATCGATGTGTACCTTCTCTCCCGGTTTGGTTGGATAGGATGGATGAAGTGGCTCTTTGTATTTCACAAGAGCTCTCTTCTGGCACTCCTCGCAGGTCATACAGTACCTCTCGACGTCCTTATACTGTCCTTCCCACCAGTACAACCTGCGTACCTCTTCGTAGGTCCCTTTGACTCCCCTGTGTCCTCCGACTACCCCGTCGTGAAGCTCCGCAACTATCGTTTGTCTCTCCTCAGGGTCACAGACTACTCGTAAGGGCATCCCCCAGCCGACCGGCCTTTGGAATAGATGGTCGGCTCTAAGGCAGTACTGCGCCGCTTGTCTCCGGATATCTGATCCTTGACTTTCCTCCCCTGACAAATGTAGCCCGATCGTCCTGTATTTGCCCTCGTAAAGGTTAACCAGAAATCGCTCAGAGCGTCTCGGCCCCGCCATTGTCAGGGCTCCAACTACTATCGGGCGCTCGGCCTTACGAGAGATCCGAGTGAGCCCATCTGCTACAGTATTTTTAGCGCCAGATATCCTCTCAACTGTGTAATCATATAGCCGAATCCGTATTAACCATCGTGCGATGGCCGGGTCCGTCAGGCTAAAGTCCTTCTGGAAGACAGAGGCAACCGCTGTGGGATCTACTCTCAAGATGAACCGTCGCCCATAGATATAGTGTCTGAACGTGTCTAGACACCGCAGAACAGCTAACATTTCCTTCTTGAATTGACTGTAGTTTCGCTCTGCCGTATTAAGTGTCCTACTCTTAAATCTTAACGGCCTTTCCTTCCCTTCTGCGTTTTTCTGAGACAGCAACCCTCCTACCGAACAAGGTCCAGCATCTGTGGATACTATGAAGGGTCTTCCAGCCTCATCATTAAAGAACGGCACGCCCAGTACGCGTCCTCCCTCCTTAAATTCATCTTTAAGTTCTTGCATGGCGAGTTCCTGCGAGGAATCCTAGTAGAATTTTTCAGTCTTTCGAAGGAGTAACCTCAATGACTCAGCCTTCTCTGCATACCCCCGTATGAATATCCGCCAGTAACCAACCACTCCCAAAAACTGTCGGACCTCGGTTGGACTATGTAACGGTGACGGCCAGTTCGGAAGTTTGTCTAGCTTCGCCGGATCTTCTGAGCGTCCTCTCGAGTCACAGATAAAGCCCAAGATCTTAATAGTCGAGACGGCCCATCGGCTCTTTGTTCCGCTGACCATTAAATTCGCGTCCAGCTGCTCAAGTACCGCGCAAATATCTGTTAGGTGTTGCTCGACGAATCTTCTAAGTCATGGTACAACCTCTGTCTCATCCTTGTTTACTGACCCTTTTATAGGAAAGTCATCCAGAAAAACTTCAACCTTATCAGGGATGAAGTCCTTGAGGACGGCTACCATGGCTCTCTGAAAAACGGCTTCCCCATTAGTCCAACCCATAGGGACAACCATCATCTGTATCAGTCCCAATGGCGTATGCATAGCCGTGAGGTGCCTGTCCCTAGGATCAAGCGGTACCTCATCATAGCCTGAGAACAGATCACAGACCGAATAAATCGACCTGCCTTCGGCCAGTAAGTCGGCGTGTGGCACGGAGCCCACGTCTCGTATCGTCACCGCGTTGACCTTCCGAAGGTCCTTGATCCATCGGATCTTGCCATTCGGCTTTCGTAGGAAGAACCATCGATTAGCATAGGCGCAACCAGACGGCTCCACAACATGGGAAACCATCTTTTCTTTCAGGAAAGCGAAAACTTCTTCCTTCTCCTTCAGGGCGTATTTTCATCCTGCGTCATTCCAAGGAACATGTGGAATCGTGTAAATCCTTGCTGGCTTAGCGTATCGAAGGTCAACCCTACCGCGCTCTGCGTCGGTGAAAGCTATTGCCTTATCACATGTCTTCAGGATTTCTATCACACGTTCTCGCTCCTACGGGGTCAGATTTCCATTCCCGATGTCCATCCCTGCTATCCTCTCTTCCGTTAGGCGTTGCAGCTCCTTTTTTTTTCTTTCTTTGATTTCTTATGCGATCTCTTCTTTCGATATCCCTTCCAGTGCAGATCGCTCGCGGCCCACCGCCGCTGGCTTAACTTTTTGTGCTACTCGCTTGTATCGCTTGGGTAGCCCCCCATAGGGGGCCGTGCCCTTAAAAAAGATACCGATACCACCCCGCCAAATTCCTCATCTGTCTCCTTTGGGTACGAGTTGTCGTCCACTATCAGCCGACTCCCTAAATCTTCCACCTCCACGATCCGTCCTTCTTCCTCTGTGAGCAGTGGTCCATACTTCTTCTCGCGAAATCGCACCGTGCGGCCGGAGATAGGTAATGACTTAATCTGATCACTGGGTCTTGCACCCACAGCGAGAGCTGCTCTGTTCCTCGGGTCCTGAGGCTCCACTGTCTCAATCATAACCCACGTCCCATCTAGCTTCTTAATGAACAATGTCTGGCTCCCATCAGGTCGCTCTATCGTCACTGCGTGCACGTGGCTCAACCACGTTCGTCCCAAGAGCAGATCGGAGTTGCAGTTCTTGACTGCAAAGAAAGGCAGGGTCACTCGTACCCCGTGGACCTCTATGGCTGCCTTGTGACAAACCCCAGTGATTTGTTGTTTTCTCCCATCAGTCGTCTCTATCTCGAATAGGTAGGACCTATCGAGGCTCAGTCCAACCTGCACTGCCAGATCCTCGTCTATAAGGACAGCCTCACTGCCGTTATCGATCACAGCATCTAGTTTCGCTCCATTTATGATCGCCTCCACGGCCCCACTACCAAGTATGTAAAACTTGTCTAGAGGCACACCTTTCATCCCATCAAGAAGGACTGTCGCCATGCGATCTGCTCTGGCAGTCACCCCCGTTACTGCTACTGTAGGAGCTTCCGCCTTAGGGGCCCCCTGAGCCTCCTCTGATAGAGGTATGCGAGTCTTCTGCGTGATCATCTGTAACTCATTGCGAGCCGGCTTGGATGCTGCCTGATATTCCAGAATAGAGCACTGCATGGGCTGCCGAAGGGCCCGCCTCATCGGCTCGACCGTGTCAATCTCGTCCAGCGAACTCTTCATCAAGAACTTCTTCACTCCCCGCCTCTATGGTGAAAGAATAACCTCCTCTCCATCGATCCGTTGTCCGTCCTTCTCCGCCATCACGTAATCCGTGTCAGTCTTCTTCGATGTAGACCCCCTCGCCGACTTGGTGGCTGCCACCCTTATGGGTGTGGTCGCCATATCCCCCTCAAAAGTTATCTTGATGCTCTGGCTCTTGGCCGGCTCCTTTCCTTTACTCGGCTTTACTCTCCTTGCTTCGACATTCTCCTTCATCGAAGGGAACATCGATACATCTCCCAGATCATCTGCCCACTTGACGTACTTGCGGTCGTCAAGCACGACAAGTCCCTCATCTATTGCCCGTTTGAGGTCCGGGCAATCTCTCTTGATATGATCATCTCCTCTACAGTAAACGCAAGAGTTCCTGGGAATGGACGGCCTGTCATCCGCGCTCTTAGAGATCGAACCCCTGGCTGCCCTGGGGTCAGGGGACTTGGGATACGGCTCTGATGAGGCGCCATATCCCCCTCTCTCATTCCGACCGCGTGAATCATTGCGGCGGTCTCTAGTGTTGTATCGCTCGCGTGACTCATCGCGTCGATCTCCTCGGTTGTACCACCCCCGCGAATCCTCGCGCTGCTCTCTCCCGTACCCCCCACGGTCATACCGTCCGCGCGAGTCGTCTCGTCGGTCCCCGTCTCGATCTCCTCTCTCATATCCGCCACCTCTGTATCCATCTCGATCCGTCCTCTCATATCTTCCTTCCCTATATCCATCCCGGTCTGATCTCTCATATCTGTTGTCCCTGTATCCGTCTCGTCGGCCCTGATCTGACTCCCACCGCCCTCGAGAGTCGCCTCTACCCCGATCGGCCTCATAACGGGGGCTTCGCGAGTAATCATCCAACCTCCTAGCTCGCCCATACGTCTTGCGAGCTCTGCGGTCCTGGTCTATCTCGTCATCCCTACGTCGCCATGGATCATCATCTCTCTCTCTTTCCCTCGTACGATAATCACTTAGCGTTCGAGGATTTCTATCCTTGACACTCCTCCAGGAATCGGTGTTCCTACGGTCCCAGCGTAGTGAATAGGGCCCTTCGTGTTTGTCCCGGTAAGTCGTAGGTCCTGTGTTGGTCACAATCTCTGTAACCTGTCTTGTCAATCCCTTTACCATGTCCCTTATCTCATTCACTTCCTCGACCACGGCTTCATTCTTCTCCGTCCAGGGATGGTCCTTGAAATCAGGACATCTATCAGTGACATACTCCATGTAGAGAGAAAAGTCACGTCTCCTCATCCCTCTCCACACCAAGTCCTTGTAGTCGTCTGCCTCTGCCTTTATCGCGAGCTTTAGGACTTCTGGGAAGTCAAGCTTGTCACGCGGAAGATTTCTAAGTATACTATTTTCTCTACCTTTGGACAGGTGTCTGATGAAGATAGTACAACGCTCGACCTCTGAGATCTTCCCCTTCTTCATCAGCACGTCGGAGATCTTCTGAAAACGCATCCCAAATGCCCGTACGCTCTCATCTTCATCTTGAGTCATCGTCTCAAGGTCCTTGATGGAGTACTTGTTATCCTCCAATTTGTAAAGCTCAACGAGGTTCTTTTTGTACGTAGTCCATTTTTCATCCTTCGCCCGGGCTTCCTTAACTTCCTTGTCGAGACTTGGATCCACATTAAATAGGAAGTTCTCTATAATTTTCTCCTCCGACCACTGACTCCGGCTAGCATGAAGCTCCCACTTCTCCAGATATTCGGTGATACCATAGCCCCGGAAAGTAGGAGGCTCTGAGGCCTTGTGCGTAATAATATAGCGATCCTTGCTCTCGTAAGGAAGCGGGTATGATTCCCCCGTTTGGGGGTCGAAGACACGCCGCGGCGGTGCTCTATCTCTATCTCTATCCCTCCAATAGGAGTCCCTCGAACTCTCTCGCCAGTCGTCCCTGTGCTTATCCGCCATGGTTTTCCTCCGCTCATAGTGGGGGGAGCGTCGTCTCATCGCTTCTTGTCGGCCGCTCGAGGTTCCCGTCTTCAGAGCCTCCTGCGGCTCTGTCACGACCGGCTCACCCATTACGTCGGACTCTTCGTCATTGGTTAGGTCAGCCCATCTCAGCGGTGCTTCCCGCCTAATTCGTTCCTTCAGATCCCTCAGAGCTCGGTCGGGCGATGTCCTGTACTCCTCCCCCGCTTCACCCGTGGTCGGTTGTGGCCCCATCGTGTCTGGTTCCATAGGCCACCAGAAGACGCAGTTAGGTACCGTCGTCGGGTGTTTCAGCCCGGACCTATGACGGTTGCTGCAGCCCGGACCTGTGACAGAACTCACAGCCCGGACCAGTGACAGTTGCGGCAGCCCGTACCTGTCTCCTTGTCACCGTTCGCGTTCGCCTCCAATCCTAGCTCTCGACTGCCCCGTTTACCGCCACCAGTACTCCGTTCCGGACGCGAATCTCGTGCTCTCCCTCTATCCCAAGAATCCCTGTGTCTAGGTAAACCTCTCCTTCGGGATCGGCCAACAAGGCCGCGCCTCTCCGGATCTGCTGTACACTCGTGACAGGATCTCTACGCCTGCGGCAGATCGTGGTCCCACGCCTAACCAATATCTCCTGATCATCACCCCTCAAGAGCCTCCGAGCGTCTATCTACGTCCTCCTTGCTAGGTCTCCCAGCCCGTCCTGAATCGGGTAGCCTGCTGAAGGAGGAAGCTATCCTCTTACTGCCATCCAAAGTCGCTCGCCGACCTTTCTGACCTCCACTATCTTTCCAAGAGCTTCCAATCTCTATTTCTCCTCCTTTAACTCCCAGACGGCTATGAGGTCATCTTGTCTAGCACCTGAGGTAAGTCAGTGCTATAACCACTTGTAACCTCATCGCTGACAGCCCCAAAATGTCATAGAATGTCTCAAAACCCTCCTCATCTCCACTATCCTCTATGGCCTCTAAAATCTTTATCGACTCCCTCCAGTACCGATCGTGAGCGGCTAGCACCCTGAGTATTGCACCGTCTGTTACAACTCTCCCTAACTCTCCAGCTTTCCTAGCTTCGCTTATCTTCAACCTCTCAGCCTCCCTGGTCGTCTCGTACCATGCCCTTTTCCGAGACCGCCCTTCGAAAGGTGTCACTCGGAGTACGTATTTTATCCTTCGTCCTCCTTCTAATCCAATCCAAAGTCCTGTCCCCCTGGCCTCACGCAGCACACGGCGGACACACTCTGCCTCCTCAATTATGCACAGTCTGGTATGGAGCTGGAACTCTACGATCACTAACACCAACGGTCCGTCCAGTCTCCCTACCACATGCAATGAGTACCGATCCATCATGTGTAGTGCAGTCTCGCTCATGTCCTGTCGCTACCTCCCTGTGTTACCTTATCCTCCGTTGTCACACCCTCTGCCGACCTCTCCCTAGTTCCTTCGCGTGATACGCTCATAGCTTTTACCCTCTCCAGAAAGTCTGATCTCCACGCCTGGATAATCTCTCTTTCCTCCCTAAACAAACTCTCTAACTCTCTCGTCACGAGATCAGCCCTACACACTTGCCCTCATCCTGGCACGACAAGATCTCCCTTAACTTGTTCCCCAACTCCTTTACCTGGTTCAAGAGTGGTTCTTTAATGCGTTCTCTCACTCTTTCGACTGCCTCACTCTCCTCTTCCATACTCAGTCCTCATCTCTTTCCAGATCATCCTCTCACCCTCGCTCTAGCCTCCGCTACCGTCTCGTCGTGGAAGTGTTCCGCGTGCATATAACCGTGAGACCATATCATCACATCATAGGAAATCGAGGTCTGGAAGGTCACCCGCGCCTGTACATCAGCTTTATGCTCGTGGATCAAATCCCTGGCTCGTTGTCGGCACTCCCTCGTCGTCAAGTCCTCGTCTATGTACGCTCGGAGAAGTACCGTCACAGTGTACCCTGTGCTCACCAGTTGTTCTCCTACGCGCATCATTGTGGCCGTCCTTCCCGGCATTCCCTACGCTTCGACCTCGAAGAGAAATCTCACATCCTCTAGCCCCACATAATCAATCTCCGCCCGTCTCCTGCAGTACCTAATCAGATCGACCGGCCTTAGACAGTCCACCCAGCAAGTAACGTCTATGATATCATCAAGCGTCTCTCTACTGGGCGGTCCCCACCTCACACAAATAACGTAATATACTTCCCTGAAACGGGGCGCTAAGCCCTCCCAAAGCGCGTAAAGTGTGTGGTCCACTGCTCTACTCAAGCGATCTACGCTCCCATAGGTCTGCCCTATCACGAAGGCAGGAAGTCCGAATCGTCAATCCTCTCTCGGGTAGAGGGTCGGATGCGGAGGACCATATACCAAGCGGCTCCTATACGTCCTCCCTCCAGAGAGTCTCGCCAGTTGCTGATTAACGATCACTCTGGCCAACAACTCGCTTCTCCACCAAGCCCTGCTTGCCCCTGCAAGCGTCAGTCCTACCTCTAAATCGTGTGCTCTATCCGCTATCAGATGTCCGACCCCTTCTAGGTGATGAGTCCTCTGGGGTCGACCATCTCTCAGTATCACTGTCCAAAGGAAGAGTCCCTCTGCAAGCCACGTTCCCAGGTATCCTAACGGAACACGCCCTGTCCCTTCTAATGCCACAGGAAGAGGAATGTCGTATCCAACCGTCGTTTCTCTGGGTCTCACAAGTTTCCTCACGTTATAGGATTCGGACTCTCGTGAGAGAACATAAGCTAACCAGGCTACTGAGTCACTCCTCATCTCCACTTCGGTTCTCGATCTGTATTTTTCTCTACTCCCTCCGACGTTCCCTGTCTGATGATGTCGCTAACCCCTCAGACAACTCTCCCACTCAGGTCCATTATGGCCGAGTAGGTGTTATGCACTCTCCCATCTGCTCCATGGAAGTAGATAGTGAACTCGACGTACCTCTGGCCTCTCCGTATCTCCAGGGCATGCTCCGTCATGAGTCTGATCTATCGCTCAACATTGCCCAATACTTCATCTTCCCTGCCTCCTGTCCTATCTCGTCGTAGGAAAAGCGTCACTCTCAGTATATCCCTGTCTGCCATCCTTTCCTGCTCTTGATGCCAGTCTCGCCTTGCCTAAAGTTATCTGCTTACCGTCTCTCCACTACTCTCTTATCTAAACCTCACTCGGATATGCCCTGCCTCTAGTCATCTCATGCATCTGGCATATCCTCATCTGTGTCCTCATCTACCCCCCGACCCCATGGGATATCCTCCTGTCCCTCGGCCTGAAGGAGATGCCCCCAGCCGTCCTCCTGCAGCGCCTCTCCACCTACCTGCTCTTGTCCCTCAGCTCGCGCCAGATCTCCCCAGCCCTTGTCCTGGTCACCCCAAGGGTCTATGTCATCGAACTCCTCCCAATCCCGATCCTCAGCGCACCACGCAAGATCGTCTGCCTCTGGATATACCTGTCGGTAATACTCCTCAACCTCCCTGGTCAAGATGAGATGGCTCGGCCTCTCCTCACGAGTCTCGGCTAACAGCTGTCCTACTCCAGCTAAATGATCTGTAGGCCTCCGAGCCTCTCTCTCTAGTGCCGTCCAGTAGGCTAGGGGCTGGTACAAAGAGTATAGGTTAGGGCTCCCGGTAGGTACAATGGCCCGCAGGAACTCAATCAGCTGGAGTCCTCGCTCGCCTACAAGCGGCCCTGCTACAAACTGCGCATACAACACCCAATCCCTGTCAGTGTACCCTCGGCAGAGGCCGTCCAAGTCAAGAGCCGCAAAGTAGATCTCGCCTTGATGCCTAAGTCCCCAAGGCTCCTCTGCCACGAAGCACAGAAGTGTCACACGCAGTCGAGTGCTATGATATGGGAAGTGTCCTCCAATCCTGAAGGTCGTCGTCACTCTCCGAACACCCCCGTGCAGTCGCTCTACCTCGCCGCGTGCGGAGTCCGCTCTAGCCAGTAAGATCGCCCTCGCGGTCTGCTCCTCTTGCCAATGATCGTGTACGAGGCCGTGATAATAGACCGTAGCTAGCACCTCCGGCGAGTAGTAAATGTGCCTCACTACCTCTATACTAGTCGTGTCAGGTCGTCGCCACCCCTGACTGTCCGGCTCGAATGTCTCGATGACGTACAACCACAAGTGTACGTCTAGGACCAGCACCGTCGATGACCATCGACTATCTATCGCATCCGCAGAAACCCCTCTGGCCGGCAGATCTAGTGCCACCCTACCTGGCGCTACTGTCTCTGGGGGTCTCGGCCATCGGGCGTCGTCGATCTCAAGCTCCACCCTGTTGGCCTGCTCTACCATCGATCCGCTCTCCGCTATCGGCCGATATCTGACGCTAAGTCCGCTCCTATGCCCGAACTGCTACTCCTATCCTGGGGAAGTGGGCGTCTGTAACGTCGATCTCCTCCTCGTCAACCTCACTCTCTGGGTCGACCCAGTCTGGCTCCCAGGCGTCCTCGCCGTCGTCTCGCTCCCAACCCACGTTGTCAATCTCGTCCTTGACGCAGTATGGCGCCTGTCTTATAGCCTGGTAGTACTCCACCAACTGATGGTCGTATATCAGAGGTCGCCCAGCGTCCTCACTCCACCAGCTCCCCCAGTCGTCTGAGAAGAGCCGCTCAATGCAGGTCACGTACTCGGGGCCTGCTCGGAGCTCACGGTCTAGCCAATCCCAAACGCACGGAGACTGGGGTCACTCGTCGTCTATCGAACGGATCAGCTCTATAAGCTAAACCCTCTCTCATCACCCCAACGAGGCCCACCGGTCGCGAGCGAATAATAGATGTAGATGAGGTCGTCAGGCCTTCTTGCCAGGACCTTGAGATCCTGATAGGCTAGGTATGTCTCGACCACTCCACCAATACCTCCAAAAACGCTCTCTACTACGAACGTCGGAACTATCGCCCGCAGACTCCTAACGTTGTACGGGAAAAACCCGTCCCATGCTACCACTAGCTCGCCCGTGATATCAAGAGGAGGGCATCCGTGAAATAGGGTCAATGGGTCGCTCGAGTCCTCCGCTCAGAAGGCGGCCACCTCGTCCCTCAGGTAGCGTAACGCCCTGCTAATTGCGCCGCTAGTCCCAGTCGCCGCGAGCCCCACCACGGCCTCCTTGACCGTGTCCGGTCCTAAGTACAAGTAGACTCTCACTACGCCCACTCCCTGTCCAGGCCGGTGCTCTCTATGCGTCCAAAGCCACGCGCCCGCAGACAAGACTATGGACCTCCACGCGAACTGGCCGTCAGCATATCGGTCGCTGCGCACGGGAATCGTGAGCTCCACCAGGTCCCCTTCTATGAGTTCAGGCGGCTCCACGTCCCAAGCGCTACTGACCTCATAGACCTCCACCTGCGCCCGCGGCCACATCCGACTGATGGCTAGAGAGTGCGTAGTAAAAGGGACAGGTAGAGAAGGTGAAAGAAGGTTCTTGTTCCTATGAAAATTTCGGCAGCGCTTCGCCTCCCTTCGTTGGGAGCCCCGATATCACGCTGTCGATCTATCTCCTAACCTTCCCAAGGATCCCCTATGGTGCCAAAGGGCGGAGTCCCGACTCTAAACAAGGCAACAGGCCCTATAGTCGAGTTCCCTCGAATACAAGGCGTGTGCTCTATTCGAGGGGACGCTGCCCCCGATTGCTTCGGTCACCCCTCAAGAGTACAAACGTCCACCCCTATCTAAGAATCAAAATTAGAAGGTCTTCTACTTCTTTCGCAATCTTTCTAAGTCATTTTAGTATTTTTAAGGTATTTTAGCATATTTAAATTGATAAAAAATACTTTTAACCTTCAGAAACCTACTGGCCGTCAACCACTGCCTAGGGGTATACAAGACTTCCCCTAGGGAGTAGCTCGGCAAGTGCGTTTCTCCTTCCGCCGAACGCTAACTATTTCTTTTGAATTTTTATTATACAAATTCCAAATAAATAATTTTAATCAGGGAAAATTTCGTGTTACTGGCCCTAACCCTTAAGAGAGGGTAAGGGAACAGCCCTATACTTTTTCTACTCCTATCCCTATCCCCTTTTCCTACTCAGGGAAATTTTCTATATTTAATTGCATTTAATTTACAAAAATTACGTTTACGTAAGATACACCCCCTTTCTTATTTTACATTCACTTATATCCCTTGTATATGTCTTTAAGTGAAATTGCTCGACCTCAAGGGTCCCCGAAAAAATCCGGCAGCACTTCGCCTCCCCCCGTGGGGATGGGGTGTGGCCGAAGGCCTCAAAATAGTCACTGAAGGTGTATAGCAAAAGGGAAAAAGTACCAAAGGAAAATTTTAATTTTTAATAAATTTTGAGTATTTTCTTTAATTATTTCCTAATTAATTGGAAGTATTATACAAAATTTCAAGAAAACCGGGTAGTATTTCCCCTCCCCCCGTTGGGTTGGGGTTTGGAGCTTCCGCCCCTAGCTCAACAACCCGAAAGAAAAGACATCAGAATTTTTAGAAATTTAACAAAATGTAATTAATTTTTTTCCCCTATTTTAAGTATTTTTTTTTAATTAATCATACAAAAAAGAAAATTGACGAAAAATACAGAAGGCAAAATATTTCAGATATATTATCCTTCTTCCTCGAGGTTGTTATCTGATCCCAAAACCCTGAAAAAGACTTCCCCTAGTTAGGGTTTCCCCTAATTAGGGTTTAACTAACTAGGGTTTTGCGAGTTTCTCGCGCAACCGCGCGCTCTCCTCCTAAAATTGTTCCGTCCCAAAATTTTCCCGGTAACTTTACTCTAAATCTGCAATAACTTTGACGGAACACTTTGTCTTAATCCCTTTCGCGGTATTTTACACGTAATTTTAAAGAAGTTAAATATTTTATTTTTGTTTTATTTCGTTTTTCTTTGCTGTTATGTTATGTTTTAGCCTCTAACTGCCTCCGTCCGCCCCGTCCAAGATGTCAAAACAACGGGAAAAATAAACCAAGCAAATTTGGTCCAAGGAGTTATTTCAAAATAATGAACCAATTTTCCGCAAAAAATAAAAAAATAAAACTAAAAATTCCGAATTAATAAATAGGAAATTGAAAAAAAATCGTTATCTCAAAATCTTACCGTTAGATTTCAGCAAGAAACGTCTCATAACGTTCGCCTCGTCGAGAGGACGAACTTTGCTCCCCGCTTACTTCGCGCGAAAAGGCGCGGATGCCGAGATATTTCAAAAAAACTAATTCAAAAAATCATCAAAAACAGAACTAATCAAGAAAACGAACTAATTAGTACCCGGACAAATCAGCCCGCGCACCCCCATTGATTGGGGAAGGCTGCGGCCTTGCGGGTGCTGCTCCCCTCCCCGGCAACGGCGCCAAAGTTGTGAGGAAACCCGGGGAGGGGCACCTGCAGTTCGCTGAAGCCAAGGGCTACGGTGTCTGTCACTCGTCGCGCCCGCTTCCGAGGTCCTCAGCGAACCAGCAGGAGAGCCGCAGTCTTGTGTCTTACTGCCACCTCGCTTCTAGAGGGTTTCTGACGTCACTCCTCTCGCAGCCTTTACTAGAGTTCGATTACAACAATCAACAAGAATTACCGCAGTCAGAACAACACTCACTTTGYTATACTYAGTCAGGATTAGAGAATATCWGGTCTAGTAGAGTGTCGAGGTTCCGATTTGCCTGTCYCGCCACCTCTTTTTTCTCTCTTTCTTTTTCTTGTATTTCAACAGCTTCACGCAGCCAAGAATTTCAATGGTCAATAAGAAMAATKGCAAATTTGCTCAGCCATGRGAGAACTAGAAAAGCRGTAAGTTMAACTAGCGACGAGWTTCTTCAATYAATTGTTACAGTGACAAGTTTACTCTGCATCACATTTCGACAGTCAACTGATTTWATCCCGAGTTCACGCGACAGCGAGCTACAGCGATCAACTGGTGAGTCAGCACAGTAACAAGTTTCTTTTGTCCACTCTAGATACACAACCCCGCTTTCACGCTTTCCTCACTGCACTCTTCCCCTCTTCTTCACTTATAGAATTCTTGTCTCAACGCCCCACGCAACCACATTGAAAAACCCCGTTTCGCACYGTCCCTCGCGAATGTGYTATCTCTTTCTCTCCCYGTTCTCCCTTCTYTCTCTCTCCCTGTCTTCCCTTCTCCCTCTCTGCCTTACTCACGCACACTCACATAGGATTAACTGACAATGCTGAGACAAAATGGAGATTCATTAATATCGAGCAAGTTTCATCAGCTTCTCCGAGGAAGTTCCTGTTCCCGGCTCAACTGGAACGGGCTGCCTCGAGGGGCGTACCAGACCTTAAATGCCCCTCGGTTCAAGCCCCATTCCCCTTTTCTGATCTATCCCACGGGGGCGACCAGATTCCTCCCTTTTCACAAATTGCAATTTCCCAACGTTCCCACCCAATCAGCACTCGTCGAGTCGGTAAGAGCAATATGCCTGACCACCTATAACACGAAAACTCGATCAGTCAATTAGCAAGGGCAACAACAATGACTGGTTCACATCGCAAAGTCCGAGGATTTTACCAATCAGCGTTCATCCACTCAGCAAAAACATCGCGCCTGATCCGCCTTCAGCAGGAAGTTCGATTAGTCAATTAGCAGTGATAAAGTGCCTGGCCCGGCTGCAGAGGGAAACTCGATTTACCAGTCAGCCGAGGTAACCTGTCTTACCCATCTCGTTTTTGTCAATCAGCCGTAGTAGCTTGTCAATCCCGCCTACAGCRGAGAGCTCGTTCTGCCAATCCGCAATAGCGACTTTTCAATCCCGCCTGTAGYGGAAAGCTCGATTYGCCCATCAGCACTACTAACTTGTCGAATTCGCCCGCAGGCTGCAGCAAAAGGCCTCGGTCAGCAGATTCGGCGGAATAAAACAACCCGCCCCKTCTTCAGCTATCCGTCTAATTGCGAGCTTGCTGAAAGGCGCTGCTCYTGCTAACTGCGGAACTGCGTGTTTTTGTCTTCAGCACATTGCACACCGTTCGCACCTTCACTGTTGKCCGCAACTGGCGTTTTTCAGTTCGGCCRTCACGCAAGCTGATCACACCTGGTACAATAATCCGTTCTCATTTTCTGAACCTTCCTACAACATCGACGCTRCCCCAAGTGTTCTCTTWCAGGGTGCTTCGCTCGCGCGGAGCATATTCGTGCAGCGGTAAGTGCTCGCTTCACTCGCATGTCCCTTCCCTGTTGGCCTGTCCCTGTAAGGCATGTTTCATTCAAGCTCCAGTGCGCGCTAGTTGTGGTTCACTGAGCATGCCTGGCGCGCCCCCTCTCTCTYAACACCGCTCAGACGCACGTGTGCTCCTTCCCTCGTGCGCTGCTCGTCATCCTTCTAGGACTCTTGCATGAGGGTTGAGGACGCCGCGCACACTACTCC